GCCACAGAAGAGCAGAGAAAGCAGGCAGGAGCAGCTCAGGAGGCTGTGAAAGGTTTCTGCTAGTTGGCGTGCTTGTATTTTGTTGCTGATTGGTTTGGTCTGTGCTATGTTTTAGGTTATAAAAATGGGAAATAGAATAATATGCATACACATATAATTAGATTGATCAAGCAGAAAAGAAAATTATGCAGAAGAGGAAAATGACAGAGCCATGTTTGTAAAGTGACAAGGACTGATGAAGACCTGGATGCTCCTTCATCCACTGTCCAGGCCAGGAGAGACCAGAGTCGTCATGAGCCCTGCTGGGCTCCCACATGAGCTAGGCAGTCTAGCAAATAACAGAGCTCAGGAAATTGAATGAATGCTGGGCCATGTAATGAGTCTTGGGCTACTTACCTGTGGAGGTACTAGGATAGATTTTAAAAATTTAAATTAATACTTTAATTATAACATGATCTGAATAATGACCCTTCCTAAACATACTAAAAATACAATCTAAAAACATGTTTAAAAAATCAGGGGGAATAACTTGATCTACAGATAAGACAATTGAGTATTTTGAACGCAATTCTAATATGATAAACAATTCATAAAGGATGATTGCATAAATGTTTCCAGAAAAGTTAACTCTATAAGAAGTAAAGGAATATAAACAATTGAAATTCCTTTAAGTGTACCATTTTTGTGAATAAATGGAAAATATTCACAAAACTTTGAGATAATCCCAAAGTACTTTGGTTTTCATTTTTTTTTTTTTGATAAGGAAAACAGAAAAATTTCCAAACAGTCTGTGAGCAACAGAAACAACAAAAATCTGAGAAATGCTGTTATGTCCCAACACAAGAATTAGTGACTATAAAAACAGAATTTTAAATACAAATCATGTTTGTTATTATAGAAACGGAATGCACAAATAAATATTTGTAGCTTATGGAATGCAACTGTTTATCAGATTTAATACAAAGCTATTGATATAAATTGTAAGTCCAAGTAAGATAGAGAACAAAAGTCTGACAGAGAGGAGACTCAGTACACGGAGGGGGTTTAGAAAGTTCACAGGAAAGCAGAATTCAAAGGTAAGATTATTTTGGTGCAAAGGGATTTTTAATTTATGTATATTTTTACTTTTTTAAAAAATATTATTTATTTGAAATTCAGAGTTACAGAGAGAGAGCGAGAGAAAGAGAGATTTTCCATCCGCTGGTTCACTCCCCAGGTGGCTGCAACTCCCAGTGCTGGGCCAGGCCGAAGCCAGAAAACAAGAACTCCTTGCAGGTGTTCCATGTGGGTGCAGGGGCCCAAGCACTGGAGCCATCTGCTGCTTTCACAGGCACATTAGAGGGACCTGGATCCGGAGTGGAGCAGCCAGGACTTGAACCAGCACCCATATGGTGTGTTGGCATTGCACGTGGCAGCTTTATCTGCTATACCACAGTTCTGGCTTATTGCTTTTTAATTATACACAAATTCATGCTCTTCATATGCATGGATTTCAGAAGATGGGGCACCAAAATAAACTTACCTTTTTAATCTGTTCTTACACAGACATTTGGAATTGGCAGAGAGTGGAAAGAACTCTTATAAGACTAAGAATTTCCAAGGGTTTTACTATTGTTGCCATAAATTTTAGTGAATATTTCCACCTAAGTGGAATATTTTAGCTTAGAGAAATATTGGTAAAATTATGATAATCTGATGAGTTAAATAAAACATCAACAAACAGAGCTTCTATTTTTTAAAGATTTATTTATTTATTTGAAAGGCAGAGCTACAGAGAGGCAGAAGCAGAAATAGAGAGAGGTCTTCCATCTGCTTGTCCACTCTCCAAATGGCTGTGATGGCTGGAACTGGGCTGATCAAAAGCCAGGAGCCAGGCACTTCTTCCTGGTCTTACATGCAGGTTCAGGGGACTAAATTCTTGAACCATCTTCCACTGCTTTCCCTGGCCATAGCAGAGAGCTGGATGGGAAGTGAAGCAGCCAAGATTCAAACCAGTTGCCCATATGGGATGCCAGTACTGCAGGCAGTGGCTTTATCTGCTACACCAAAAAACCAGCCCCAGAGCTTCTATTTTAACCCATTTATTTTAAAAACCAAAATTTTCAAATCCAATATAGTTGGTATGTACAGATGAAACCATTTCCTCTGTGGATATGAGCTTTCTTGTGAGCTGCTGTTTTTGCATTCAGGAAATTAAATTTGTTGCAAATAATTTTACATTTTTTATTTATTTGAAATGTTCTAAGCTTGGTTGGTAAACACAGTTATGGATGCTGAGTCATGTCCCTGGTAAAGGAAGTTTAAAGAGATATTAAGAGCAGAAGCCAGGACTTGATTCCCTGAAAGAATGAAAGGTACTGTGGACCTCAGGGATGTTCAGAGTCCTCCTGCTGCAGGTGAGGGAGTAGATGCTGGGACTACCGGGAGGAGCTTCAGTAGGGGCAGGGACAGACAGGGCAGCCCCTCCTGCAGAGACGTGGGAGAGACAGAGACAGCAGATGCACCAAGTGGAACAGTTGCACTCATCTCATACTTTGCTCTGCTTTCTAGAAATGACAATGAAAAACCAAAGAACTGTGCAGCAGTGGATTTCCCAAAGTTTAGTTAATTTTTAAAAATTTTATTTAACGTCCCCCCCCCACCCACAGCCATTGTAATCCATAAGCTGTACTTTGGAAATTTATATTCATTAAATAAAAGTTAAAAAAAAATTTATTTAAGTTACACAGGTTTCATGGTTTTCATTTAGAATATAAGCTTCATGTTTTTCATTTAGACAGATTTAGGAACATAGTGATACTTTCCACCCTACCCGCCCTTCTGTCCACCTTCCTTCCAATCCTCCTCCCTCTCCTATCCCTACTCTTAATTTTTATAAAGATCTACTTTCAGTTTACTTAATGATCTTAAAGTTGACCCTACACTAAGTAAAAGAATTCAATAAATAGTATGAAGAAAAAACAACACTGTTCATCAACAGAAGAGACAAGGACAGTAAGAAATCATTGAATCTCAATGTGTCCATTTCACTCCAATACATTACATTTTAGGTATTTTATTAGTTACCTCAGATCAAGGAAAACATATGGTATATGTCTTTTTGGAACTGGCTTATTTCACTAAGTATAATGGTTTCCAGTTGTGTCCATTTTGTTGCAAAAGACAGGATTTCATTTTTTTTAATAGCTGAATAGTACTCATAATACATATTTACCATAATTTCTTTATCCAGTTAACAGCTGAGGACATCTGGGTTGATTCCATATCTTAGCTATTATGAACTGTGCTGCAATGAACATGGGGGTACAATAATTCTTTCATATGTTGATTTCATTTGGGTAAATTCCCAGGAGTGGGATGGCTGGATCATATGGTAGTTCTATATTCTTATTTCTGATATATATCCATACTGCTTTCCACAGTGGCCATACCTGTTTACATTCTCACCAACAGTGGGTTAAGGTACCTTTTCTCCCCCTCATCCTCACCAGCATTTGTTGTTTGTTGATTTCTGTGTGACAGCCATTTAACTGGCGTGAGTAAAACCTCACTGTGGTTTTGATTTCCATTGCCCTGTTGGCTAGTGATCCTGAGCATGTTTTCAAGTGTCTGTTGGCCATTTGAATTTCCTCTTTTAAAAAAATGCCTGTTTAAATCCTTTGCCCATTTGTTAACTGGATTGTTTGTTTTGTTGTTGTTGAATTTTTTGAGCTCTTTATGGATTCTGGATATTAACCCTTTATCAGTTGTGTCATTTGCAAATATTTCTCCCATCTGTCAGTTGCCTCATCACTTTGTTGAGTGTTTCTTTCACGGTGCAGAAGCTTCTCAGCTTGATGTAATCCCATTTGTCAATTTTGGCTTTGTTTGCCTGTGCTTCTGGGGTCTTTTCCAAGAAGTCTTTGCCTATGCCAATGTCTTGCAGAGTTTCCCCTATGTTCTCTAGTAATTTGATGGTATTAAATTAAATCTAGTAATTTGATGGTGTCGGGTAGTAGATTTTTGTCTTTGATCCATTTTGAGTGGATTTTTTTTTTTTTTTGAAGAGACTGTCCTTGCTCCAGGGATTGATTTTAGCTTAGTTGGTTTAAGATGTGTGGATTGATTTCTGGAGTTTATATTCTGTTCCATTGGTCTACATGTCTATTTCTGGCCAACAGCAGGCTGTTTTGATTAGAACTACCCTGTAGTATGTCTTTAGATCCATTATTGTGATGTCTCTGGCTTTGTTTTTGTTGTATAACATTGCTTTAGCTATTTGGGTTCTCTTATGTTTCCATAGGAATTTTAGCATCATTTTTTCTAGATGTAAGTAGAATGTATTTGGTATTTTGCTTGTGATTACACTGCATCTGTAAATTGTTTTCAGTAGTATGGACATCAAAATGAGACTGATTCTTCCAATGCATGAACATGGAAGATTTTCAAACCACCTTAAGAAAGCGTGATTTAACCTAACTTCTGACAGATGACAGTAAAAGCAGCTGTATAGATAATGGTAATGATACAGTGTAGGTAGTTATTGCTCTGTTTTTCAAACTTTTCTACTTTTAAACTGAAAATACTTTTCCAAGAAATTGCCATCTCCATATTTTTTTTTTTAAATAAGAGCTGGCAGCTATTTGGACTTCTTTGGTTTACGTTTTTGTTTTGTGATAAGAACGCTTAAATGAACTCTCTCAATAATTTCCCAATATGTGATGCTTTGCTTGTACACTAGATGTCTTGGAGTTATTCTCACCTGGCCTTGTGTACCCTTTGATCAACATCTCCCAAACATCCCCCTGGCCCATGGTAACTACTGTCTATTTGGAATTGTTACTCTGAATTATTGAGACAGTATCTTAGTGTGTTTCGTTCTATTTAGCATGTCCTGAGGCTATATTCCACCCAAAACCAAACCAACTGACCAGGGAGCAGAAGACGAACCTAAGACCCAGGGATATGGGGACAGTGTCTTGGAATAGGGAGCAGAGCCACCGCCGGCAATGCGAGCATACCTTCTGGGCACCGCTTTGAGTCCTGGGGGCTCCACTTCCAACCCAGCTCCCTGCTGACGTGCCCGGGGAAACAGGGAGGATGGCCCAAGTCCTTGGGCCCCTGCACTCACGTGGAAGTGGAACACCGGGAGGCAGCTCCTGGCTTCAGATTGGCTCAGCTCCGGCCGCTGATGCCATCTGGGGAGAGAACCAAAGAATGTAAGCCCTCCGTCTCTGCCTCTACCTCTCCGCAACTTTGTATTTCAAATACACAAAATAAATATTAATTAAAAATTAAAAAAACATTCGGGGGAGGGTGCACCGCGACACCATCTTAGTGAAAGACCAGTGATCAAAAGTACCCCTGCTGGAAATTTAAAGTCCCAGAGCTCACGGAATGTGGGAATTCTGGTTTCCACATGGCGCCACAAAGCTCCCCAGCCCTCCCCCTCGGCTTGCGGAGCTCGGAGCCGTTTTCCCGTTACTCCAGGCGGCCTTTGATCCGAGTCTCACACGCTGTTATTGGCACTGGGTCTCCGGCTCGTCACTCGGCACGATTTTCATCCTTGCGAGTAACTTCGAGATGAAGCTGCGGCCGCAAAGCAGCCCAGGTGTCGCAGCTGCTGCAAACCGGATGTGACGCCACGGAGGGCGTGAAGGCGGGAACGAGAGCGCTGCCTTGTGGTTGGCCACCCGTGCAGTCGGGGGCGGGGCGCGAGCATGCGCAGGAGGGCAGAGGCCTGTGCGCCTGGAGGAGGGAGCCCGGGCGGAGATGGCGGCGGCTGTGGACGGTGGAGTCCCGGCCCCGAGGTGCAGGTGCCCAGCGCAGAGCGTGGGGACATATCGTGTGTAAGCCCGCACAGACGGGCTCCCTCGGACGCGGGCTTGTCGGTCTGCTGGAGGGGCCAGCGGCGTGCGGGTGAGCAGAGGGCCAGGGTGTCCCCGAGAGGCCGCTGCCGCGCGGGCTCCCCACAGGAGTCTCCCCGCGCCCACCGTGAGATCCCCCGACGCGGGCACCGCGGGCCTCGTGTTCTTCACTGTAAGCCAAGGGGAAGAACCCTCCAGGGAGCGCGGCTTCCTCTCCCGCCCTCATTTCCCGGGAATGCCCGGAGCAGTGCTTGTCTGACCCAGCCCTTGGCCGGGTAGCCTGTGACTGAACGACCTGGACCCCGCCCTGGGCGAGCCCTCAGGTCCGGTACCGCAGAGCCGGGCGGCCCTCACGTCGTAGAAGGGCCAGGGGCTCGCCTCACCCTCCCTGTGCGAGGGTGGGTGGTGGTCTCAGCCCCGAGGGCACAGTCCGACCCAGCCAGTTCCTGCCGACCTCGCTCCTGATGGCCAGCGCCCTGGGCAGCCGGGGCACGGCTGCGGTGGTCCTCCTTGTCAGGGTCCGGCCACTGAGGTTCGGGGTGTGGAGGCACCTTGTCAGGTGCCTGCCCAGAGTCCTGCAGATGAGACTCTTGAACCTCAGGCCGGCCTTATCGGGTGGTGCCCAGGAGGGGCTGTGGCTAACCCGGGCTCGCTACGCTCACGCCAGGCCACGGAAACGAGGGAGAGGGTGAGAACTGAACACTCGCAGAGTAGCTTCCCCTCCATCCATGTCTGCTGCCCGGGGCCGCACTGATGCGGTCCAGGGCTCCGGCTCCACCCCAGCTCCCACAGCGCCATTGGCTGCTGCTCAAGGTCCCGGTAACAAGGCCCAAAGGTCCCCGTGTCCATGCTCACCTGCATGGACACACCTGAGCCCTTGGAGGGCACCGTCCTCACCTGGGGACTCCTCGTTTGAGCAATGAAATGGATACTTGAATAGATGGGATGATTGAACTGCTTGACTTTTGAAGCCATTGTTCTATCCTGTGTCTTCTGAAGGGACTTCCTGGTCATTGTCTCCTTGGGGGAGATTTCCCACAGTGAACGCTTGGTCATGAGAACAGCTGTCAACACCGGTGGGAGGGGATTGCTTTCTCTCTGGATTTAAACGTTTTTTTATGAAAGTGGAAACCAGGAGCTGGCACTGTGGCACAGTGAGTTAACACCCTGGCCTGAAGCGCTGGCATCCCATATGGGCACCGGTTTGAGACCTGGCTGCTCCACTTCCGATCCAGCTCTCTGCTATGGCCTGAGAAACAATAGAAGATGATCCAAGTCCCTGGTCCCCTGCATCTGCGGGGGAGACCCAGAAGAAGCTCCTGGCTCCTGGCTTCAGATCGGCCTAGATGCGGCCATTGAGGCCAATTGGGGAGTGAACCAGCAGATGGAAGACCTCTCTTTCTCTCTTCCTCTTCTCTCTCCGTGTAACTCTGACTTTCAAATAAATAAATAAAAATCTTAAAGTGGAAACCAGGAATCAGTTTTCATTTCATTTGGAAAGAAAAATAACTATTAATAAATTTAGTGATAATCAGATGGTTTTGTGCCTACTTGGTCTCAGTTATGTAGGCATAATCCATGCATTTAATTCACTCATCCCTGGAAAGAGCATGTCCTGTCCAGATGCATCAGAATTCTGATTTTTGATCCCCATCTCATGTTCCTCTTGCCCAAGCAGGAAGGGTTGGAGGTTGTGGCTCTCCCTGAATAGGTATGAACACCCCTGGGAGCGCCTGCTGGGCCACTGGAGCAGGGTGGAGAACAGGTGGAATCCTTCAGGGCTTATAGGGCTGACCAAGAGCTGATGGCAGGATCCAACCCCACTTCCTATTTTCTTGGGCCAAAGTCATTTCTACACCAAGACCCTTGAAACACATGAGTGCACAGACACACAGTGGCACGGCGTCACACCACCTGGTGCCTTGCCAAAGACAAATCCAAGTCTAGATGTGGATGGGGCAGAGTTACATCACAGTCCTTCCACACTCTTCCTTGCTTTTTTACTTTCATCTGCTTTTAACAAACCATTCTTTGTCTACATACTCCCTACACACACACACACACACACACACACACTACTTTCGTTTAAGGAGAAGCTGCCTCATCTGAGGAGCATGCCTAGAATCCTGGACCTGAGGCCCCGGCACTGCCTGTGGCCTGCTGGCTGTGGAAGGGCTGGTGCTGTTTCACACGGCATCTGCAGCACTGAGAATGTACTGGTCCCAGACCGGCTGCAGCAGTAGTCCACCTGCTAAACCCTGAATGGGGAAATGAGTGCATGAATAGGCGGATGAGCACCCTGCATTCTTATCTGACATTTCCGCAAGTGCAGCAGAAGCTGAGAGCTCTAGCACCGTGATATATTGAGAGAGCCATGTGTCTGAATGCTTTGTAGAAACGACAGAGATTGTGAGTTTTCCATTTCTCGTGATAGAAGGGCCTGGATGTGGTGGGTAGATTATAAGATGCGTTAGTTTTAGCTTCTGACACTGCTGTGCTAGGGCCCTGCCACTTGTGGCCTAGCAGTAACTATATACAAACTCTCATAAGTCACTCATCACTCACTTCATGCCATTAGGCTCTCAAGACTGTCCTGTTTTCAGGGATTGCTAAAGGTGGTCTGACAAAGTGTTGGGAGGAGGAACCTGGAACGGTCTACCTCTCTCACATATTAATGGTTGAACTTTTTTTTCCAGTGAAAAAGGCAATTGAGCTGAAGTCAAGAGGAGTGAAGATGCTTCCCAGCAAGGAAAGCAGCCACAAGAACGCTGTGTGTAAGTCTGCTGTCCTTACTTCTACACAGAGCTGAGTTCTCTATTGTGGGTGGGCAGGTGGCAGGGGGACAAGGGACAGAACGCAGAGGTTACTCCAAAAACTGCTGGTCCCACTTTACCTTCCTTCTCTTCACTGCCTCTAAACGTTGCCTGGGATAAAGAGTGCCCTGGTGACTCCATTGCTCAGTCTATCTCAGTCTGTGTGCCCTCACCATGCTGCCTGCGACTGAACCTTCTAGATCCCTCTTTAGAATAACAGATGCTTTCAGAATCCCGGTACCCCCTCCCACACAGACCTGCACATAGACCAGGCGGATTTTTCTTTATAAAATACAAATTTAGTTTGTCATTTCCCCATTGCAATGTTTTTGACCACTCATTTCTGAAGAATGCAAATGCAGGAGCTTTAGGGCAGGGCCTGTGTCCTTCTAGATAAAGCAGGATCTGGAAACAGGTCCCAATTATCACCCTTTGCTGTGCTAGAATCTATGGATTTGAGTATGGATGGCGTCCTCTATAACTGCAGTCCTGCGCCCTCTCCTTGCCACCCCTGTGATTGGTTCGTTCTTGGACCCCTTAACCCCTTACCTTCTTGGGGCCCTGACGGTGCTTCTCAGTAAAGGTGTGATCCTGTCTTCAAAGCTGCACCATGCAAAGCCCCTGCTCCTCCTGCAGGTGTGTGTAGTGTGCCCCGGTTTGCTCCCCAGTGTTGGTTCTTGGGCTGTGTGGACTGATTTTGCTGAAGCTTCACTGGGAGCTCACCTGTCCTTCTGAGTGGAGACCCACAGGCCCAGGGTCCACCTGTCCCTTAAGGAGCAGGGTGCATCTGGACTGCAGACTGTATAAGGCCTGCAAAATCATTTGATCTGGCTCACCCGAGGTAACCACAGACAAGAGTCAAAATTCAATAAATGTATAGCAGACTAATTTTCAAGTTGGCAATTTTGTGTGGCCTGTGAGTGATTTATCCACAGGGCCATTGGCAGAAAAAAGGTTCCCCACCCCTGTGACTGGAGATCCACAGCCCCACTCTGGAGATGCTAGGTGGGCTGGCTCCCAGTGTGGCCCTTACTCTGTGCCCAGATCTTCCTGAGCTTCTCCTGCCCCTCCCTGGTGACTTCTCCTGTGGCAGGTCCAGGCTCTTGAATCCCCGTAGCACTGCCTGGCACTCAGTAGAGGCATAAGATATGGGAGACATCTGCATTCCCCAAACCCACTGGCTCTATTTTCGTGTGCATGGCATTTTTGAACTCTGTGAATGGTTTTATCCATGACAAATACTCTGTTAAAATTAGTGAATAAAAACAATGAGCACCTGTTGGGAGCCATGTTGGACTCCCCTGTGCTGCTTTCTCAATATGCCTGTTTAGGGTTTCCTGCCTGGGTAATGTTAGTGTGTTGCTGCTGCCTGGGGCTTTGGGAGCTGAAGACACAGACCCCACTTGAGATATGGCCTGCAGGGGCTAGATCCCCAAACTCAGGTCCATCCCTGGGGCCCATGTCAGCCCCTCCTGGAAGTCTGTAAGGCTTCATGGTGAACTGCTGCTAGGGCCCTTCTGGGAAAAGTAAAATCGGAAAGGATGGAAGCGACTGAGACACAGAAATGGAAGAGTGGAACTTAAAAAAATACAGTTTTAATATTTTATTATTGTTATATTTTAGTTCAGGAAGTTCTCTAGAGGAAAGATGTAGTGTTTATGATGATTTTGAAAATGATTTTGGTGATTAAAACCCTGCTGAAGTGATCTGAAATTCAGCATGGAACCCTGGTATTCAAGCAACATCAGTCCGATTCCAGGTCAATTGGACATTGCATTAACCTGGCAGGTTAACACCCAGGCCAAGTGTTTTTGTAGGGAGTGTATTACTTCTTCCTTATGTGAACCTGGAGACAAATATATAATAACTTGTTTGGTATTATAAAGTGTTTTGTTCTTTTTCCTAATGATATTAAACTATTTTGGCCAGAAATAAGAATTAGTCATTAGAGAAAATGAGTAATTCCAGAAACTGTCAGCCCTGTGGGATCAGCATTGCGGTCAATTGTAATCATTTAGTCCTATGAAAGGTGTGGTTGAGAAAATCAAGTGAATTGTTTCATGGAGCAAGGGACAAGGGTTTGAAGTCAGAGAGAAAGAGACTCAGTGGCTGTGAAAGTACGGTCTTAAACAAGTCCAGGGTTCATCGTTTATAAAGTTAAAACAGTCGTCATTTTCTAGGGTCATTAGGCAGATGAACCGAGGTGTTTGCAAACTGCCCATGTTGGCCCCCAGTGAGTGGGCATTCTGTAACCGCAGCTGGGAGAAACATCTCCACACATAAAATAGACAGAAGTGAAGACTCTGAGTAGAAGTCACCTGAGTTTCAGTGTCACAGCAGGTCTACTTGGTGGGAGCAGAGGTGAGATCTGGGGAGTGGAGGTCACTGTCTGGGGTGCAAGACTGGTGGAGGGAAGTGGCTGCATCAGAACACATGCCTGGACATGGCGTGAGCCCGCAGGTTTGCCTCCATGGACCCCAAGTTCCAGTTCCTGGCATTGTCACTTACATTCTTAATAAAGGTGGTGGCACTTGCTGCATAGGTTTCTGTTGCTGACATGACATGACTTTTTTAAAGGCCCCTTGGAAGTACTTAGTAAGTATGTTTGAGTAAATAAAAGAATGAATGAAACATACAGATCCTCTCATGTGTGCCCGTTGATCTGAAGAATCTCTTGTGAATTCTGCTTTGGAATCACCAAGTGCTTCAGTCCTTCCAACCAGTTTTGATTTCCCTATCACCAACAAGCCCTTGTGGTCCCTGTTATTAACATGCATACATTAACATTATTGTATTAACCTTACCATACATGGTGTGGGTGTGTGGAGATGGTGCAGGTACCTCGTTCATCAAGGGCTGCTTGCTAAATTATGCTGAGAATGAGGAGAGTTTTTCTACCAGTTTGTAATTAATAATGTTCTCAGGAAACCCAAAGGATAATGAAGAAATTAACTCTGTGTCATGCTCTAAGTTTTTAATTGTTTCCAGCTTAGGAAGACCACACCATAAACCATGGCATCATTCAGTAGAAATGGTATCCGGCATAAACTTAGAAAACTGCCCCCATCTGCTTTGCAGTAACTGAGTGACAGCACCCAGTGTTCAGAAGAAATTAGACCACGTCAATTTCAAGAGGTGGTTTCCCAGTGGATCCGATCCAGTAGAGACCAGCACTAGTACTGAACCCTTCACAGTATGCTTCTCCTTTATAGATAGATCCATGGCAAAGTTCAGCTTGTAAAATATGCTCTCTGAGAAGCTAATAATAACTAATAAAATAGAACAAATAGAACAATTGACTGTCATCACTTGTATTAATATGATTGATCTTTCTCAATATTATTACTACATTGTAGATCTTAGAGACCTTAGTCTATGCATCTCTCATGATTAAGTCAAGTCCTTTCACCTTTCCACTTAAAGCATTCTGCTGCACTTCTTTGGACATCTGAATTGTCAGCCTCACTACTCTGGTACTTGGGGGCCATTTTTCAGTAAAATAAGGGTCACCCAAACAAAAGCACTGATATCTCAGCAGTCAGTTTGATAAAGGAGGCAAATCCTAGGGGAGGAAGTGGAGGTTAGCACTTAGAGTGTGGATGGGCTGGACTGAGCTATGACTCGCCTCCCAGGTGAGTTGGTACAGAATCAAGTGAGATTTCTTCTCACTATCCAGAATGGTGTGTAATTTAAAACTCAGAAATTCTGTATTTCTGGGATTTCCATGGGAAGTGGAAGTGAAGATTAGAAGGTGCGTGGTAGGTGTTTTGCATTGATGGCAACAGCTGTCAATGATTGTCAGTGACAGCAATGGCATTTAATGCTTTTCAACAATGTTGACAGAATTTGGTGATCTTCAATGATGGCAAGAGCAGATGAGCATTTTTCTCCCATTTCTCCTCTAGGCATTCTTGTTGGCAGAATATAAATTTAGCAGCCCTCAGAGTGAGGATTTTCAGGCCAGATAATCCATCTGTGCTCTTCTAATCTGCTGGGAGGGGGATTAACAAAAGCCTTGCTTGGTATTTTTGAGCTAGAGATTTTAGCCCTTGGGTTAAGTTAAAGGTAAATGACTTCAAAAACCGAATGTTGATTTGTTGTTATTCTTTCAGAACTCACAAGTTGATGCCCAAGCAGTACAGGGCAGTTCATTCAGAATCATTATTTAATGCAAAGCTGATTTTGAAATATAGGAAATTTAATAGAAGACAGTATCTCACAAGCTCTTGAGAAAAATAACAGCAGAATATGAGGAAATTAAGTCCCTGGGATTCTGCTGCATTCCACTGTAAGCCACTTATTTCCTTGCCCTTTGGCTCTATGGTCATTTTTTTTCTCCATCTTGGGAAAAAAACACCTGAAGCAAAACAGTAATATCCGTCCATGTTTCCAAGTAGACAGTAGTAACAGTGAAGAGCATTGACCCAATGTGGTCATTCACAGCAAGCAGCTCCTTTCAGCTCTGGTCCTCCTTTTGTCTTGGACATAAGGATTGGGAAGAGGGGGTTTGACAATGCGTCACTCAGCTTTAGAATCCCACTGCCAAATGATGTCTCCACTACTGTGGACACCAAATGCTGTCACTGGAACTGTAGGAGGTTTGAGTTATCTCTTAAAGTTGCATAGCCTCTCATCTACTTTCTGAAATATACCATCGTCAGAGACTTTCCGTCTCTCTGGGCCATGCTGTTCCTGGCCACTCGTCACCCTTGTTGACAAATTCATAATTTTAGTTTTCTTAAATCTGGAATTATTTAATAACAAATGTAGTACTGAGTAACATTCTGTTTTTACTTAAATTCCAATATGCAAAACCAACCTGAGTGGTT